AATAAATAAGACAGGTTGGCTTTTCCAGGAGAAAATAAGGGTCGAAGGGGGGGGGCGGTGGGGGGAGGGGGGGGTCCCACCTTCACAGATTTGGTCCCAGAGGTTTGGCGCCCCCGGGGGTTCCTCGGCAGCAGCCATGAAGGGCCGGGGCGGGAGGGGGGAGGAAAGCGGTTGCTAGGCAACCCCAAACACGGGCCTCCTCGTTTTCCCAGCAAGGCCTGGGCTAGGCCGCGACCCCTTTATTTCCTTTCCGGGTCAGGCCGAGAAACGTGGCTCTGCTCCTCCGAGGCCAAAACCGCCACGCTGCTGCCCGGGCTGAGGGAAGGGAGGAGAAGCCGGCCCCTCTCAGTCGGCCCCGGCTGAGGCGAGCAAGGGCCGGGAAAGGCGCCTTACGGAGTGGGGGAGCTGGTCGGGGTGAGGACGGGGTTTTTAGGCCAAGGCTTCGTGGCTCCGAGCTCGCCTAAGAAACTGGAAGCCCTTTCCTCTTAACAGCGTCGAGGCTCCCTCGGTGTTGAGGAGAAAAGACTCTCTTCTCTGAACCCCCTTCATCTTTCCTGGGACCCCCACCCCGGCGGTGAGTATTTGTGTGCTCTGTCGCTGAGGCAGATAACAAACAAGGGGTTGGGAATTAAAGGGGAGGAAGGGACCAACTCGTGGGTCTTCCCTTGTGGTTGAACTACAATACCCATCATGCTTAGTGATTAGTGGCACTTCATGCTTAGTGGTTAGCTGCACTGTCTAATACTGATGGGAGTTGAGGCGCCATAACACCTGGAAGACCACAGATTACTTCCATGGGGTAGAAAATCATGCCACGTGCGGTCAAGTTGGAACTGACTTAGAACTGCAGAACTGGAAGGGGCCCTAGAGGTCATCCAGTCCAGCCCCTGCCAAGGAGGCCTAGTGGGGGAATCGAACTCCCAAACTCTGCCTCCACAGCCAGATGCCGAAACCACCGAGCTATCCAGCAGTTCTTTTATATAGCACCCCTAATAGGGCGTTCAAGTTAAATGAGATATTTAATGTGTGATTTTATTAGATCCACACCCCAGTGAATGTCCGTGGCTGAGCAAGAATTCAAACCCAAGCCTCCAAAGTTAATCACTCCGTCCATTACATCACGTTGGATAGCTGAAGATCATGGAATGCTTCCTTGCGAAGAACCAAGAAACAGAAGCGTGGTGGGAGCTTTAAGTGTAATAAAGCTGTTTTGCTGTGGGTGGTGGATGCAACTCAATCTGCTTTTTCCAACCCATCAGCCTTTTCAACATACAGATCCGATGGCACATTTGTTTTGCCAAAACAGGGCTACAGATTCCTCAGGTAGTCAGCGGTTCCTCCATTGTGATGCTGTAAATGGGCAGAATGTCAGAGAGAAACAGGTTTCATAGTCCCTTTCAGCCATGAAGGCCATAGGATGACTGAGGACCCGCTGCTATTGGCCTTATCTACCTCACAAGATTATTGTGGCAGTGGAAGATGGAGAGGGGAGTTAAATTTGAGAAGACCAGGTTAGCAATACAACACACATAATGGATCAGATCCAAGGGTGTATTTCTCCTTTGGAAGGAATCTTCCTGTGATGAAAGGAGGCCTTCTGTTGAAGAAAATATACCTTTGGATCCTCCCCCACCCTGTGTCCAGTGAAGTAAGTTCTACCTCAGCAAGACACTCCCTTTCCAAATACAAATATTGGAAGTGGGGTCTTAAGAACCTCAGAAGAGCCCTGCCATATTAGATAGTGGTTCATCTAAGCCAGTGACCTGTTTTGTTTAGTCTTAATTTGTAATCCCAGCTATCCATTTCTAGAAGAGCCCATGAGTTTACCTACGTGTCCTGGCTAGGCTTATCAGCAGGAATGAGTTGCCCAAAACTTTTTCTAGGCAAGAGGAAAGGTGGTACTGTATTTTTATTCTGTTTATTTACATCTTTGCTAAGACTTGACTCTGAAGAGGAAACGCGCTGCACAGTCATAAGGGGAATGCCATGTTTATTCTGTTACTTTGCAAAGATGCAATTACTCCCTCTATAATTGCAGGGTTACCCGCAAACAATGAGGATATAATTCTAAATGGAGCCCAAAATGGGCAGATGCTAGTTTTTCTGTGAAACAAAAGTCTCCCAGTTTTCTAAACATCTCTCCAGCTAAAGTATAATTGGCAGACCCAATGATAATACTTCTTGGAGCTTTGCTTGATGATTAGCTTCCTTTATAATGCCTGTATTTGTGTGCTTGTGACCCCCCCCCCTTTCACAGCAACAATTGTTTTTTTCCTGATCTAGTGCTTTACATCAGGGTGGTGTTTTTCCCCTTTTGGCATGCAATATTTAATCTGATCATCATCATCATCTTAGAACTGCAGAGCTGGAAGGGATAATCAAGTCCAGCCCCTATCAGGGAGGCACAGTGGGGGAATCAGACTCCCAACCTCTGGCTCCACAGCCAGGTGCCCAAACCACTGAGTTATCAAGAATGGGAAAATTAGTCTTCTGGCTAGAACTGTTCATGCTGTCTGAGGATTCTGGGAACTGTTGTGCAAAAGTATAACTTTTCCAAGGGCTGAAATGCATATCCAGTTGTATATCTGTTCCCATGTGAGTATTCTTATTCACATACAGGTTTCCCATGACCACACAGCAAACGAAACAAAGAAGGCAACCATCTTTTATTTTCTGTTCATAGCCAAAAAGTAGCGAGGAGAGGCTTTTTCCTCTGCCAGCTGTCTCCAGTATCCACCAGTCTCTGGAACTTATTGGGATAGGAGAACTCACTCAATGATACTGGGATCTGCTCAGAACCGGCGCTGTCTTTGCTTAGCTAGGCTCCTCCCATCTTTGCCCACCTCCTCATGGCCCTTAGAACTATTTAGTGGACTTAGTATTACTCAGTGAAACAGGACTGGGGTTAGATCAGATTGATAGGAAGCAAGGAGTCGTCTGGAATCAGATGAAGTAGAGAAATAATTGTGCCCCACTTTCCTTCCTTTAAAGACCATCCTGAAGAATAGCTATGCTCATAGGCAAAGTCTGAGTGTACAGATTGGAGAACTGCATGGTTAAACTAGGCCGGTGTGATATTGTGGTTAAAAATGTGAGGTGGCGGCAGCTCTTATTCGATTCCCCAGGCAGCCATGAAGTTTGTGGTTAACTCTGGACTATTCATCCCATCCTGGTCTCCGCTGGGCTATTACAAAGATAACATTTGGAGTGGTAGAGGTGAGGGAGTTCTGTTATGCTGTTTTGAACTTCTAAGGAAAAGGATTTGACATAAAAGTCATTTGCATCTTCCTGCTCAAATTATTTGGCCCACTTTATTTGTCCTGTATTAGGTTATTGTTTCCCCATGAGAACACCAAATGCAAAATCCAAATACTGTTTATTGAATGCATCTAACTAAGTGATAAGCCCGTAAGTTTAACATATTGCTATGTGTGTGGCGGGGGAGAGGGGAAAATTTGTATTTTTGAATTTCTTATGGGATAAGGGGTTTCCTACACTCTTTGTTTGGGCCTTTTGTTACAGATGATTAGGTTTCTATACAAACTGAGTTTTTGCAGTCCTCTTCAGGGAATGAACTGGATAGGATGGACTTTAAGAGTAGACACCCCACCCACCCCCCAGTTTATGTGGTGGCATTTTGTTTTTCCAGAATGGCCATAAAGGATTCAAAGAAGAACATTTCTCAAGAAGCTGTGCAGAAAACAACTAAAGTTAAGGCTGCTGCGGGAAACGAAATGATTACAATAGAAGATGATGAAGATGATGAGAGTGAGGGCTTTTCTCATTTACAAAGCAGCAGCAAGGTGAAGAAAAAGAAACATTTGGAAAAACAAAAATATCCAGACCAGAAGGGTACCAAGAGGAAGAAAAAGAAAGCTTCTGAATTAAAGAACGGAGCATGTGCAAACCTTCCCATTATAACAGAAAGCAGCACAGAATCAGAATCTTTAACAGACAGCAGAAAAATACCTGAGATGGTCAAGAAAAAGGGAGATAGAAAGCGTTCTTGTGAAAGAGAGGGCGATTATGAAGTTGCTTGTGAAGGGCTACCAGAAGAGCAGCAAGGAACCAATTTTCTCATTAAGTTGGCACGCAAAAGGACTGTTTCTGCCAGCAATAGAGATGATGTTACATTTATTACAAAGCAGAAGAAGAAAAAGAAGGCGAGGAAAAAGGGGAGACACACTTGCCCATTGATGTCACATATTGGAGACACTGAGGATGAGTTTCCAGAAGAGATCTCCTCAAAGCCAAAAGTTATTTTCCAGGACACTGTGTTCTCTGGCAGGGAAAAGGGACGGACCAGTGTCCGAAACTGTGCAGGTGACATTGTCCGGAAAAAGAAGGCTGCATTCTGCTTGAAGTCAGTGGACAGTCAAGAGGGCAGCAATGACATTTTAGAAGAAGGGCTTGCCAGCACTGAGAGCCACTTTAACCAAGGACAGTATTGCAAAGGGAGAATTTCAGGATGTAAACAACAGCAGAAGGATGAAATGAGGACAGTATTGCAAAGGGAGAACTTCGGGATGTAAACAACAGCAGAAGGATGAAATGCAGGTGTCTGAAGAAGAAACCAATGTAATCACAAAAAAGCAGAGAAAGAAGAAGAAGAAGAAGAAAAAGAAACTGGAAAAAGAATCGTTTGCTTTATTTGTAACATCAGCGAGCAGCCAGAAAAATAGTTCATCTGTTTCTAATGAAAACTCTTTAAAACCCAAATCTAAGAAAATACTGCTCATTGTTGAGGACAAAATGGATCCAATCCCAGATGCAGATGGAGAGGGCAAGGTGACTAAGAAGAACAAAATCCAAACAAAAGTTGTAGGCAATCATCTGGCTCTTTTGAAGGATGTGAGAGAGGAGGGAAAGAAAAAGAAAGTCAAAAAATTCAGAGTGCTACAAGTTCACACAGCAAGTTGTTGCGATGGCAAAATTGAGGAGAAGAAGAAAAAGAAGAAAAGAAAAGACAGGGAGAGTGAAGGCTTCCGGGAGGACACAGAAGGGGAGCCCAGGTTGAAGAAAGCCAAGTTCAAAAAAGAAGGAAAGGTACATTCTCGGTACAAAATGCTGTTCATCATTTCTTATTGATTTATTGTGGGTTGGATCCAGACCCAAGTTAGTCATGTTTTAACCAGCCCACAATTGGCTGGAATTCTGTGGAACTTAAACATAATTGATTTGAAAGTGTACATACACATACAGTGGACCCTCTACTTAAGGAATTAATCGGTATTGGAATGGTGGCTGCAAGTCGAAAAGTCTGTAAGTCGAATCTCCATTGACCTACAATGCACTGAAAACCGATTAATCCCATAACCAGTGGTTTTTATTCTATTTTTATTCCATTTTGGTTTTTTTCTGGTCTGTAAGTCGATTCTCTGGCTGCAAGTCGAATCTAAATTTTGCAGCCAGATAAGTCTGTAACTCGAAAAGTCTGTAAGTCGAGCCGTCTGTAAGTCGAGGGTCCACTGTATGTAGACATGTATGTATGTATGCATGTACATGTACACTTTCAAAAATATATGAGCAGTCACACACATGGCACAGTTAAAGCAGTTTGATACCACTTTATTCATCATGGTCGTATCCTGGCTGGGACCCTATGCGGGCAGGGGGGGAGATGCCCAAGCCTGCGCTGGGAGAAAATTAGAGGGAACATGGTCTGTTCTTTGCTACTCCCACATCTTATTTTGTTTTTAACAGTCCTGTGAAGTAGATTGGGAGAAAAGTTGAGGTTATCTAGTGGACTTCATACCTAAGAGGAGATGTGAACCCACATGTCCCTAGTCCAGTATTCTAACCACCCGTGTGTCTTCTGTGATTTCTCCTGGAGAAACACAGAAACCAAGTTGTATAATCTATATATGAATAGCATACTCATTTGCTCATTATGTAAAAAAACTGAACTATCCAGGTACAAGAGGAAGGAATCTCACAGGCATACTACGGTATTCCCTGCTTCTTGTTCCAAATATTCTGAATAGGTTTCTTAGGGGGTCCTTTTTCTGGGGGGACAGCAAGTGAAGGTTACCCTGTGCAGCACAATAAGGACGTAGCATGTTTACAGAATGCTGAGCAACTGGTGTTGTGGAAGAGAGTTTTCCTGGAGAAGAACAGCTGGCCGACTGGGACCCAGGCTAGGAGCAGTCCACACAGCTGGAAGGCACCACTTGGAGGGTGGTTCAGAGGTTGGAAATATTCCTCAACTGAAAAATAGCTGTACTAATAGAGGAGTTCTGAGCTTTCTAATCCAGCGAACAAACTTTTCCAAGTCCTGGATTGACTTTAACCATTTCTATGACACTGGCTAAGAGTGAGCATCAGCTTTTGAGTAGAAAGGATGTTGCTATTACATAGTTGGCAGTAGGGAAACTGCCGGCACTTCCAGGAGATCAGCGTGCTTTGGATGGTGTCTATATGTATCCATTATTCATTGTATGCTCTCTTTTTTTACATGTGATGCCCTTGGGGTTGTCATTTTTTTATTAGGTGTTTCCCTTTGACCTTTTGAAAGACAGGGTAGTTTTATTGCAGGGATAAATGTTCTAATTAAATTCTATTTGCCTGCTGGCTATGATTCGGCCATCTGCAGCCGCTCATGTGTGCAGAGACAAGATAAAGCTTGAGAGGAGCCGTCAATTGCATTTGCAGAGTTAGGCGCTGCAAGAGGTAAAAGAGCAAAGAGCATTCTAAGGAGCCGTTATGATGAGCATCTGGGCAGTCCTGTTTTGGCTTGTCTAGTATTTCTAAGTTTAATAATAAAGTGCAGCAGCTCTCTGCCCTTAAGATGGCAGGTAAGAAGTGAGTCAACTCTAGAGTCCCAAGGTGAGACGTGGAAGGGCCCGGGGGCTGCACAAGAAGGGAAGGGGGCCCTTTGCATCCTGTATGTTGCCCATCCTTGCCAATCCCTTAGATGGCACCACAGGTTCTTATGTGAAACTACCTAACACTTGAGTTGTGTACAGAGGCTCTGTTCTGTGTTATAAAACTGTGTTCCATGTTACAATACACATTGTGCCTCTTTTCCCTGGGTGGGGAAGGGAGGAAGAGGAATACCAGCTGCACATCAGCTGGCCCTTGCAAAATATGTCATAATCCCTGGGTCAGGGCTCAGCCAGTTCTGGCAGACAGAGGCTGACGACAGGGCTTCGCTCTTGGTTGTCCTCCGCCCAGCCAGATCCTGTAACCACTAGCAAGAATCTGTTGCTCTTTCTCTCTTCTTCCAGCAGGCAAGGAGGGGTAGCAAAGCTGGGTCCCTGGCCAAAGCATCCATGGCATAGGGAGGCATGGCCCTCTGATGTCACACAGGCTGAAGACGGGGATGCAGAAGATGCAGCCTCTGCTGCTGAAGTTTCTTGTTCGCATATTTCGCATGCTTTCTTTGCCATTGGAGCTTTTTCTTTTTCTTCATGTTGCCCAATTCCATTCTGTTTTCTCAAAAAATTTTTGGAGGTTTGAGAGCTGATGCCAGTGCAGAAGCCTGGAGTTTTAGACAAGCTGCAGAAAATATATAACTTGGAAGTGAGGTCTTGCCATTGTGAACCTCTTAAGGGATTTCTAATTTGCCGATTAATTTTGTTAAACTCTTATAATGCTCGTAAAATGTAGATTCTCTAAAGACGTCGGTGCTGGTGCATTTTGCTTTCAGAGAAACGGTGTGCATTTCTGTCAGAGAGAGAGGATGAGAGTGTAAAAGAAAGGAAGAGGCTTGTTTGAAGCTTGTTGGGTGGAAGTTGGCCTAAAGCTGTATCTACTCAGGGTTTGCGGGTGATTCTGCAAGGAGGTAAAGGCACCCAGACCCTAACTAGGCCTGGATTCCTACCGCTGAGCAAAACCCATTGCTCTTTCCCAATTGCCCGTGCGTGTGCTACAAATCACCGTCTTGTCTTGGCCATCCTTGCTCATTTCACGCTTGGGTTGGTGACATTCTCGCCGCCTCTTTTCGCTGGCAACCTTCTCCATGCTAAAACAAAGCCTGACAGACTTCTGTCATTTTTTTACTCGGGCTGCACACGTGCTCCTTACCAAACCAATTAATATAAAGGGAATGTTTTTGCTGCAGTTAGCCAGTTCTGGAGCCACTCAGATGCTTCACACATACACACACACACACGGGTCTAATTGACACAGAGAATTATATTGGGACAGCAGTGGGCAGAGAGGGCAAACCTTTCCTTATCCTCTGCCTTCTCTGGATGGGCTGCCTAGGGAGAGCAGGCCTCTGGTTTTCCTGGACCAGCTTGCTTTTTTTCCCCATGCTGTGTGTTGAGAACAAGGTTTTCCTTTCTTAGCACATGGTGCAGAAAGGCAGCAGGCTGTCTAGGGAGAGGCAGAGCTTTCCCCAAGCTGTTTGTTTGCGGTGGGGGGGGAGGAAAGGGGGCAGACTGGATGGAGTGACCCACTTGGCTAGAGCCCAGCCATGGGCTGCCAGTTCCCCATGTATGTTGTAACCCATGGATTAGTCGACTGGGAATAATCTCCATCCAGACTTGGGGGCTGGCACTCCTTTTGCTTTCTATACAGGAAGAGGAAAGTGAACCTTTCCACTTCAGCTTTGAACCAGCCGCAGTCTGGGAGAAATGGATTTCATGGTGGACAGGCTAAAGAGCACCTCCGGTTATCATGCCCCAGTTTGGCCCTGATTTGGTTGACTTCCATTCTGGTTAGAGCAAACCACTGCTCTTTAGCTTAGCGTGGAAGAAAGAGCGCTGGGTGGTTCTCAAGTGAGGAGGGATGCTTTGACTCCTGCTTTGACCAGCCTATGGGGAGGGGAGGGGAGGGGAGGGAACTCAGACTGACATGAGAACTTCCCACAGCACATTCAGAACCATCTAGGAGAGACCCTTTCCTTCTCGCCCAAGGCTTGTATTTTGCAGTCCTCAAGAAATTTAAAACACCACCACCACCACACACACAAAATAATAATAATAAATTATTTTTAAAAAATAGTCCAGGGACAATTATCCACCCAAAAGGCAAAAAAAAATACTTTGCAGCAGGGGTGGTTGACCTCCAGATACATGGTGGCTACACATGCCCATCTCTGGATCTTGGAGGGCTGTTCCAATGACTCCCACCCTGAAAAAAAGACACATAAAAAACTGAAAAAGCCCCCCAGTGCTGCCCCCCACCATTTTTAAAAAAATTGGGAGCGTGGCAGGAAAGGGGCCAGAAGGACCTCAAAATATGGCAATATTGCCCCTATGGACACCGGAAAAAACAAAGGGGCTTCTTGATATTTGGAGAGTGCAGGGGTGGGTTTCTGGGGGCTGCAAAGGATGTAGGATGCATATTTGGACCACTGAGGAAGTGCATTTAGCAACCCTATGCCCTCATCCTTTGTTTTAGAAGAACATCCATTTGGTATGGCCCCAGGAGAGTCCTTGGGCTGGAAAGAGCCCCCACCCATCCAACATGACAAAACATGCCTGTCTCTCATCTAAAATATAGTATATAATCATCTTAATGGAGCCAGTACATTTGGAGAAGGGGCAGTCCTAGTCGGGCCTTACTTATTTGTAACATCTCCATTGAGGGGAGAAGGGTCTGGGCCCTTTTCTTTTCTCTGGCATTGGTTAACGTTCTTGTCAGCTTCTGGGAGATGTTCTCCTCTCACTGTTGAGCGCAAGTCATTCCCTGTGTTGTGTGCTCTTATTTTATAGGAGAAGGAAGATGAAATAAAAGTTGTGGCATTTAAGAAAGGAAACTGTGATGAAGTCAATATAGACAAGGTACTGTCTTACTTTATTTCCCTTGCTTGTTGGAATCTTAAGATTGTGCCATGTGTCAGGCTGGTTTGGATGATGTTCTTTGATTTATTTTTTATATTCTTTCCTCCCATGACCTTAAAGCTCTCTTCCTCACTGGTTCTTCTCCTCCAGTTTTTCCTCACAACCACCCTGTGAGGTACATCAGGCTAAGAAAGATTGAATGGCTCAAGATCATCAAATGATATTCTCAAAGGCTTTCATGGCTGGGATCTGATGGTTGTTGTAAGTTTTTCAGGCTGTTTGGCCGTATTCTGGAGATTTTTTTTTCCTAATGTTTCGCCAGTCTCTGTGGCCGGCATCTTCAGAGGAGTCAGAACAGCCCAAAAAGCCTACAATAACCATCATCAAATGAGTTTCATGATTCTTTGACCCAAATAGCTTAGATGTAGAGCTTGTTTGTGTGAGATTGGAGGAAGTGCACAATCCTCCATAAATTGAAAAGTGAATCAAGAAGTGATCCTTTATCTAAGAGGTCACTTATGACCCTGGAGCCTTACCTTGGGGGGTGGGGTCTGCTGCCTGAACCACCTGTACTGCATGGTAGCTTTGTTTTGCCGAAGATGTTCCAAGCATCTTGTCATTTCTGTAGACTCCCTCTCACCTCAAGTGCTCATTTGGGCTGAGATGTTCTCATCCAGCTCCTATTTTCTGGGTTCCAGGCCTGACTGATAAGCCTGACAAAACGAAAATAGCTTTATTGTATAATTTGGGGGGGGGGGAGAACTACAGACAGCTCTGTCCAAAAAGGATACTGACATTTTAAGCCTTCTGGAACTCTTTCTAGGAGCCACTGGGAGGGTTGCCCATCTCTGATGGAAGAGAATGCTGAAACTGGAGTAGCCGGAGGCAAAGGGGCTCAAAGTGCAGGTTGCCCCCACATCTGGATTTAGGGACATAGTTTTAGAGCATCTGTTACCAGCAGCATTGTCTCTGCTAAGGACACCCAATTTCTTGGTCCAAAAAACCATTCTTTTTGTGTGTTTTGCCACTTCTTGGTTCTTTCTGTACTTTATTTACAACAGTTGTTCATTTGGGTGAAATCGCATGCCCTTGGAAATAGGCCCAGTCCTGCTCTTAAGAAGAGTATGATAGCTGCCTCATGTGGCAGATGCTGGGAAGAACAGTGGCCGTCCCTTCTGAACCCTGTGACCATTCCCGTATTACTAGAGAGGAGAGTTGTGGGTATCCCATAACCGGTTTTGCTCCTCTAAAGCGATTTGCTCTCCTTGGGTGTGCTAGGGAGTGGGGTTCTGTGGTGGGTCTTCAGCTGGCAGACTGGTCCACTTCTGTCTGGAAATTCTATCTGTGTAAAACAGAGGTGAGAATCGTGCAGGCCACCTGTCGTCCCCTAGGCTCTGCTTTGATCTTTTGGGGAGGGGGGAATCAACCCCAGTATGGAGAATTGTGACCCCAACAGCCTTCAGCGGGTGATATTTTCAATTGTAAGTTTATTTTGGCATTTTTGCATACAGACACAAAATTTCATGGGGTCTAAACATTTTTTGTGTGTGGAAGTGAGTGGGTTTCCCAAAAAGAGATAGGTGTGAGCTTTGGACATCTGGGGTGCTGAAAAATGGATCAAGCACAGCCCCCCTATGCCTCCCATCCTCCTGCCCCATGTGCAAAGTGGTCTTCAAAATAATCTTTTACTGTATTTCAGATCAAAAATATACCTTCCCTTGAGTAACCAACCTCTATCACTTCTGAAGCCATTTTATCTTTTATTGTAACTAGTTTAGTTAACATTCGCCACACAGGGAACAAAAATGTTATCATCACCGTCTTCTTCCTCCACTCCAGCTGAGGCGGCAGGCTCTCCAAGAAGAGATTGACCGGGAATCGGGCAAAACAAGAGTCATCAAGGAAGAAAAGGAATCGGTGAGTGCAAATCCTGTGAGGAGAATACAGCTTTGTCCTCCAGCCAGCTTGATATGCTAGTCATGTCCAGGGTCTGGCATGCCAGTTTCTGGTCTGATTGGGAACCTGAGGTCATGCTATGGAACGAATTAGTCGACTCCCTAGGGATGCTGAAGACGGACCAGTAAACTCCAACCTTCAGTGAGCTGTAATTCCTGTCATTAATCCTGGAAAGTAGCATTTTCTCCTCTATTTCCTTTGGGGAATAAGCTGTTATATGTTTGTTGCAGAAACTGTATTTTTTATTCAGTGTGGAATATAAATAGCATTAGCCCTTGGACATAGCTGTCACTATGATGCTAATTAGAAGCACCGTGGCTTTCTCCCATCCCCCTGATTGGAAATGTGGTCAGTGAAGTCAAGATGGAGGACATGGGGGAGGATGTCATTTCCCTTGACTTCAGCCGACCACACAATCAAACAGCACTAATTGCCAAAGGAAATTGCCTTCTTTGAGGGTCTTGGCCCCCTTGAGCTTTGACAAATGAGCCAGCTGGTTCTACTGTGGGCTTAAAGCCGAGGCTTATTTTGTTTGCTGAGAGGGATTTGGGAGAGGAGTCTTCACTTGCCAAGAAGCCCTTGGGATTGTGTTCCAGATGCCACCATATGGAGATGAAGGGAGCACCTTAAGTGGCAGTGGGCATGATGCACTCATGTTGAAAGCCAAGGAGCGCTAGCTGTTCGCCCATGATGGATTTCCAACATAGTGGTGTAATGGAATCAGGGCTCACAGGATCAGGACTGTCACTTCCTAATTAGAAAGGACAATGGCATATCTTCTCTCTTCACATTCCTCATGAGCTTTGCTGCAATACTTACAGTACCTAGTAGGGGTGAAGTAGGGTTTTCCAAGTTGTTGTGAGTTGTCCCTGTTGTTAATGCAAAGTATTTGGCTGTGGCTTGGTCTTGAAAGTACAGTTAACATGCAATAGATTTACAAGAAATCAGCACCTACTGAAGATGCAAACTACCAGAACTGGTTTGTTGATATGAAGCAAGACAGCGACCAATACTTTTAGGCTCCCAGTGGTTCCTGTTGTGATGAGCTTTTCAGAATTTCTCTTCAGAATTTGCCACTACCCTGCTGCCTCCTTATATCAATTCTACATAATCAGCTGTCAGGATACAGACGAAGTGTGTCTGCTGAAACTCAGCAGGAGTGTGGATCAGTCTTTGGATGGGAGGTTGCCACGTAAAACCCTAACCTCAAAGTAGATGCTTTGTCTCCTTTGAATTCCACCCTGGAAGAAAGGTTAGGGTTTGTGTTATTTTTTAGAAATATGTGTCACAGGATTATGTCCACTTATTGAAAACCACACGCCAGGAACAACCCAGTTTTACCCTCTACCTGCTTTTTAACTCCCAGATGTACTTTGAATGTGAAAATTTTGTTCTGGCCCCGGATTCATTTGACAGCTCACCTCCTAGCAGGGAAACTCAGTCACTTGATGGCAGCCTGTCAGGGTTTATGGGCACCTAAAAGAGCAAGCATGCAATGAAAGCCAATTAGGGAGCTTCACAAAGAGCAAGCAGTGGTGGGTTGCAAGGAGAGAATAAGACATGCTGGGTAACTGCTCAAAGTTACCCTCTCACATTGCAAGCTTTAAAAAGCTGTAATTATTCCTGCCATATTATTCTGTGCCCTGTGTGCGAGTCCCTTCCTCCACTCACCCCCACCAGGAAGAATGAATTGTTTGCAAGCTGATGGGTTCTATGTGTGTGAAAATGCCGAGAGGGAGCTGGTAAAGAAACTGAGCATACCATGAGACATCGGTGTCTTACTACCCTTTATGGGAAACTTAGGGTTCAGGGATTCAATGTTCCAGATCCCTTCAAAACTGGCAAGAATGAGTTCACATCTATGGGCTTCCCTGGCACAGGGTCCAAGATGTTCTGCTGCAGGAGGCAGAACCCCAAATCTTCCTACCCATCCCCTCTGCCAGGCAAGGTGCATGTACAAGCTAAGTGATTTCCACCAGGAAGTAGAAAATCCCATAATTGGAGTAAAATTACCATAAAAACAATGTCAGTGACTGTTTGTTGCCCTTTTATGACACGATAGTGGGCAATCCTTTTTGAAGAACCCCTTTCACATGTACAGCCACTCTATGAGGTCTTATTTTCCAAGTGGGTTCCACCATGATTTGCATCTCTGCATGCCTTATGACCAAGTATATCTTCATGCTCTGATGCCTCTACTGCTTTATCACTCTGGCTCATTGGCTGGATCCTTTGCTGGTTTGTTCCTCCAGAGCAGGGAGGATCCCTCCAGCTGTGGTTTGATTGTAACTCCGAACATCTCTGTTGCTTTTGCTACCCAAGGCTGATGACAGTTGCAATCTGGTAACAGCTGGAGGGCCACCCTTGCCTGCTGTGGAGATAGAAGGAGAGGCCATGCATATCCTAGTCATCTTCTGACTTTGAGGGAGTTCATTTGCATGCCATCTACTCATCCTCTTCCTTTCCTCTTCAGGTTGACCATTTTGGCCAGTGGGGCACAGCAGCGTTTGAAAATTCAGAGCGGAAAACTAAGTTCCTCCGGCTGCTGGGCGGTTTCAAAAAAGGTTCTTCTGTGCCCGTTCAGGATTCTCCAGCACATGCCACAAAACCGAATATGGCGCTCGACAGCAGTAAGGAGGAAAAACTGCATCAAAACCTAGAGGCTGAATTTGAGAAGGCTGTGCACCGGAAGTGTCACAGAGGCGTTGGCCTTGGGTTTCAGCCTGATGCCCAGAGGTACACACGTATAGATAAATATGCTTCAAAATCTATAAAATTTGAAGGCTGACCTATTGGAGAAGCAAGAAGCATGTTTTTAATCATCATTTTCACACAGAAAAAAACCCTGACCTCCCCCTCCAATGTTGGAATTTTACTGCTGTGTGATTTGTGAACAGGTGAAAATATTTGAGCCCATTAACTTTTGGCAGCCAGTTTTAAAGGAGTAGTTGTGTGGGCAAGGGTGTGTATGCCCATCTTACATGATGTATTAGAGCTTGAAAAAGTAACTTTTTTAGGAGCACAATATACAAACTCCCCAAGCCAGCATCACAGTACAAAGAAGCAATGTTACAAAATTCTACATATACAGTATTGCCTGATAGTTGTAAAATATTTAGCTCCCAAGTATACCTGGACGTTGAGTCATGGCAACTGGACTTCTTTGTTGTTAGGTTGAAATGTTTCACTCCTCATCCAAGCAGCGTCTTCAAGAGTGACTGATAACCTTCATGGATATACTCCTGAGTATATGGTCACTGGCATCTGACATACTTGCACTCTTGTCCAAAATTCATTCTTAAATGGGATGGAGGCCCTATTTGGAGGCATTTGTGTCCTCTCGCAACCACTGTTTGAAAAGACAGTAACTCTTGGCAACTGGATCTTAGTTCCCATTTGGAGAATTATTTTGTCTTTGCTCCCTACTTGTTACAGCGGCTACTGTACTTCACCTCTTTCTGGCCTGGTCTAAATTCCCCAACACCAATAGCGAACCTCCACCCTTATGGCTGCAAGCAGCAAAAGCAGCAGAAACCAAACTTACAGTGTCCAGAGTTTTGAGTCCCAAAATGCCAAGCAGAAGCATGCAGAAATGAAACGCCAGCTTGAGCTTCGTATCTGTTGTCCAGTGATCAGAAAAACCTGAATGCAAGTAAGTACCCTTAAAACTTTCAGGTCAGCGGATCAGTTTCTGGCGTCACTACTGACAGGCCTAATAAAGCCTGTGTGGGCATGCTTTGTATGTAATGGTCCATTCAGGTTTGACCAGACACTTGGCATACTTCCAGGACACCAGACGCCAAAGCCATATGAGATGTCGCTGCTTTCCTAGGAAACCAACAATGTTTTGAACAAATTTGTCTCAAAAGGAACACTTGGTAAGAATTAATCTGAGACTACAATTTCCAGGATCCCCCAGTTAGCATAGACGTCATGCTTGTACGTACATTTTCCAAGCTCTACTAAGGCAGTCTCATAGAATCAGAATACCATGGAGTCCAACCAATGCAGGAATCCAAATCAAAATATTTTTGACAGACGAGTGTCCAGTTTTCTCTTGAATGCTTGCAGTGCTGGAGGGCTCACCTCCTCCCAAGGTAATTGTTTCCATTGTCATTCTTCTAATGGAAAGTTTTTCCTGATATTCAACCTTGCGCTAATGGAAAGTTTTTCCTGATATTCAACCAAAATCAGGTGATTGAGAGCAGATCCCGGCCATCCTTCTTTCACTTGCTGTTTAAATGACAGCGCGAGGCAGTGACAGATTTCTCGTTGAAGCTCTGACTCCCTTTCCAAATTTCATTTGAGGTTGGTTGGAATGGACCGAATGAGCCATGGACGGAATTCTATTCCAGATGTGCCGTATTTCTCTGGGCTCTAACTTTAAGATGCATACACTCTTCTACCTCAAAAGGAATCCGAAAGCAACTTCTAGGAAAGATTAAAACTCCTTCATTCTGGTTTCTTAGGGATTTACGCCATATGCTCTGTCACTCCTTGCCTTTATTGTTTTACAGGCAACTAATTTTATTTTACTGTATTCCGCAAGCTGAAGAACCCTTATTTCTTAAGTCACATGGCAGGGTGCTGTCTATCAACACAGCCCAAGACCTTAGTATTTCAGGCTGCTTTGTCACAAGCCGGAGGAGAGACAATGCCAAGAAAACAGTTAACACCTGACAGCATCCTAACCAAGGTTACCTGGGCTATTCATCAGAAGGAGCAATCAATCAGAATCCTCAGGGGACCGCCTGCCAGCTCAGCTGCCTTGCGCCAACTGCGTGCAGACGGGGCAGCTTTTGTCTCCCTCTCTGACCCGCTGTTAGTGCAGGGATTAGAAGAATCCCAGCGAGCGGGCATTCCACGGGGAGTTACAGAAAGCCCGTGTTGGAAACACAGCAATGGACGGGCTCAGCAATCGGCACTGACTTTTACCAGGAGGCCTTTCAACGGACATCTGGTAAACGGGAAGCATTTTATGGGCAGAACAAAACAAACGTCACTTCTTTCTTGTAATGTGAACAAATAATGTAGATTTCATATTTAAGCTAGTAAAAGCTACCTTTTTTAAAAAAAAAATCTGTTTGCACCCCTTTTGAAATATTTTGGGTCAGCTGAAGGGCTCAACCTCAGAGTAAGCCTGGCAGGACTGATTGCTTGAGGAGCAGCTCTTCACTCTTGAAGAGCTGTCACCTTCCTGCTTTGCTTGTGGGCTTTCGAGAACCAGCTCCATGGATGCCACAATCCTTTCCCCCATTTTCTCTTCTGATTTGTCAGCTCGCTGCAGACAAGGACCTGTCTATATTTGGCTCTGTCATATATACTGGTTGTTGATACATGGTGCCCAGCTGCTTCTAATGTATGGGGACCCTAATAGGCTTTCTGAGTTATGTGAGATATTCCATGGATTTCCATGGCTGGGTAGAGATTTGTACTCGGATCCTCTGATTCTGATGCTATCTCCCCTACGCTACTGCTCTCGGTACCCCAGTAATGCTGAATTATTAATACAGACAGCCTTTTCCGTTTTAAGATGATGTTCACTCTTTGCCAAAGAGTTGTGTTATCTAGTAATTTAGAGGAAGAAAAAGAAAAACACCTCAAGTGGCTATAATTGTGCCTTATAATCAAATGACAAAGGATGAGTAGGTTGTGCAGCATAGCAATAAGCAAGTCTAATGATTACAAAATAGTCAGCTAAGCAGGCCCAGGAATGAATACATAGGATCCTCGCCTTCATTAGACTTTTAAAAACACAGCAATGCTTTGTGGATGATCTTACATGTGCTCCCTGAACACATGTGTTTTTAAATATTTTTCAAAAATCCACTACCAGAAGTTTCCATTTCTCTCCATTTATATTATGTTTAATATCATCAGCAAACTGATTTCAAGTGAATAGAGAAAACTTTAAGCAATTGCCTGTTATTAGACACACATGCCCATCTTGCAAAAGCAGTGGGATCAGCAGGCGATCGCTGCCTATCTTCCTTCTCCAAGCCCTCATCAAGATTGGTCTTAAGTTATTTAGAGTTTGGAATAACAGAATACATCTTGACTGACCCAACATTAGCAATTTAAGTCTCCCTTTAAGGGTTAACAACTCTGCAGTGGAAAACAAAGCTTCACTTAAAAATCATTGCACTGGCAGGATAAATTTTCTCCTCTCTTTGGAAAATAGACCTGTCACATGCCAAGGGAAGTTTCAAAACGAAAAAGATATTGAACAGCAATAATAGGCTAAGATGCCACTCGTATTTTACAGGACTTGGAGAGCTGCCGTCCAGTACACTGGACGCCAGTGGACTATCAATGTTCATCAGGTCCTGGACTGCAGGGGAAGGCGTAGCGCCAGCTCTGTAAAGTGGCTCAACTCTGGGTGTTTGCTTTGCCTCTGGATGTATTCCAAGGTTCTGACCTAGAAATGGAAAAGGGAAACAGACAAGAGATCAGTTCCTTCTCTTCAATAAACCAAAGGGAAAAGAGTTCTCTCTCTAGCCATCCAGTGGCTTCAAATACATTCTGAAGAACTAGACTAGGCAGTTTTATCTAAACTAATCACAATCACTAATCATGTGCCATCAAGTGGTTTCAAGGTAAAGAGTACTCAGTTTTGATTCCCCTTCTTCTGGGGATGCCCTCACGAGTGGGCAAAATATTGAGCATTCCAAGAACCTCAGCTTTCCTTTTGTAAGAAAAAGGTTTCTACCGTGTTTCCCCGAAAATAAGACAGGGTCTTATATTAATTTTTGTTCCAAAAAACGCATTAGGGCTTATTTTCAGGGGATGTTTATTCAAATGCAGTCATGGCTGGTTGCTGCACAATGGTGGAGTGTGACTTTCACTTAACTGGTGCAAAAAATATGGTAACTGGGGCTTATTTTGGGGGTAGGGCTTATATGACGAGCATCCTGAAAAATCCTACTAGGGCTTATTTTCAGGTTAGGTCTTATTTTCGGGGAAACAGGGTAGTCCTTATGGCTCCTAAGACGTTTGGTGGGTGGGCTGCGGCTTGAGGGCGGGACCCAGACAACCAGCAAATCTTAGCATAAACCTCTTAGTGCCAATTAACTATGACTTCAAAGAGCACATCAGCTTTTTAGGATGGACAGGAGACATGTATAAAAGCTGAGGAAACCACCAGGGTGGTGATTACAGGAAAGGAGCCGTGGTCAAACAGCAAACCCAAGAGGCAAGGATTGAGATCCCAGAAGGGTTGGATTTGGTTGAAAAGCCTGAGATTTCCCCATTTCCTGCTCTAAACCAGCAAGGAGCTGAGTGTGAGATCTAATGATCAGAAGCCCTACACCAAAGGACGAAACAACAGGGAACAGCAAGAATCATGCCGATTTGGGAAATACAGACCAACACTATGGATGAAATAGGCTTGGTCTGTTGAACCATTTTCACTACAATTAGAAGAATTAAAGAGAAAACCCAGCAAATAGATTAAGCTTTTATTTCAAGTGCACCCATCCGCTCACAATTTCAAGCAAAGACCAGAATGCCTCAGCCAGCAAAGCTTGCAAGAAAACTCTTCCGAGCAATATACTTCAAGTTCTGTCCGTTTCTCTCCTTACCATGATTTTGGTGTCAGCAAAGCCATGCTTTTGAGCCAGGTTCCACAGGTTAACAGCAAGCTGGTTAAGCTTGTTGTTGCGCAGATCTCCATGGGCCAAGAGGCTGTTGAAGAAGTAGAGGGCCAGCTGGCTCTGACGTTTCAAAGTCTACATTAACAAAACAAAAACACAAAGAATTCATCAGTGTGCAGCTTGCAAGACTATATCAACCAGGTGGCAGTGGGATCAACTGGCCAAGTGCCCTTCGCTGCCATTTGGGCCCATCCTTTTCCTTCTCCAGATGCCTTTATACCTGCCAACAGGATAGCATCAAAGTGGAATTGGCCCACACATACAGATAAAACTGATTGGCCTTTAAGGTGCCACTAGACACATAACCTGACAATCTCCCAGTTTTGAAGTTTGATAGCTATACTGGTAAAATATTTGTGTATGTCATCTATATGTAACCTTTTGTTTGTAGGGAAAACTGGCATTCCCTTATGTTGCAACAAAAATGTGTGAACCTCATGGGACGGTGGTTAAATTGCACTATTGCAATGAAGACTCCAATTCTTGGCTGGCTTGAGGTTGACTCCACCTTCCATTCTTCTGAGGTTGCTAAACTGAGTACCCAGCTCACTGGAGGGGGCAGAATGTGCAGCCTGCAGAATTAAAATTGTAAACTACCCAGAGAGTGCTTTAAGCACTATGGAGGCGATATATAAGCAGCATACTCTGCTGTGTTTTGCTTCCAGTTAGCGGCAGAAATTGAATATATGGCTGAACACCCAACCTCTCATGTTCCTGCCCTTGTTCTCATTTGTCTTTTGTTTCAAACCTCTGGGGCAGGGACTTTGTCACAAAACCATGCAGTTGGAAAGTACCTAAAAGGTCATCTAACTCAACCTTTTGTCAATGAACACACTGAAAGAACATCTGTGATTTGATCCAGTGCACACATCCTACACTCGAGCAAAAGAAATCAGATTTGTTCCAGAGAGTATTATATCCCCAGCATTGTTAGCATGTAACATATAAAGGAGGGGAGGGAAAGTTGGCATCTTAGATAAAAATTAGGTAGTTTGTATTCCCCTCCTCGTCTTTGAAATTTTGACCTCCTCCCCCCTTGCCTGCTCCAGCCTCCAGTGTACCCGGGAAAGTTGGCATCTTAAATAAAAATTAGGTACAGTTTGTATTCCCCTCCTCATCTTTGAAATTTTGACCTCCCCCCTCCCTTGCCTGCTCCAGCCTCCAGTGTACCCTAAAGCTTTGCTCCAGAAGGCTGGGAAGCCTTCCAGAACGTGTTTTTGGCACGGTGGGAGGCTGCAGGCAGAGGTAGAGAGTCCCAATTCTGCTAGCACCAAATCTCCAAGTATACTGCTGGAGCTTGGCCAATGGAGGGCACCAAGCTTAGCAGCGTGTAGTTCGGCGCATAGACACCCCCAGAATCATTTCCTGCCTCTTCCACTTCCCACATTATCAAGCAAGAGAATCAGGAAGGAAAGCCCTCAGGCTGGGATTTTGGAGAACCATCCCAACAGACAACACTGAATGAGATGAACCAGAAGTCCAGATAATCCATATACGATTACATAAGATATGAAATATCTTGTGTAATCTCTCTCTTATTGGGGGGGGGGGTCACCCTTGCTGCAAAGAGTGGGATCCGCAGCCTGGGGATCCATCTGGACCCGGCGCTCACCATGGAAACCCAGGTGGCGTCGGTGGTCCGTTCCGCCTTTTTCCATCTTTGGCGGATAGCCCGGCTGCAACCCTATTTCAATACGGGGGTGCTCACTACATTAGTCCATGCACTTTAATCTCCAGATTAGACCACTGTAATGCGCTCTACGTGGGGCTACCTTTGAGGTTGATGTGGAAACTCCAAGCGGTGCAGAATGCGGCAGCCAGACTCCTTAGGGGAGCGAGAAAATCCCATCATATTTCTAATATTCTGGCTGCGCTGCACTGGCTGCCCATTCAGTTCCGCGCTGACTTCAAAGTTTTGATGCTTACATACAAAGCCCTAAACAGTTTAGGGCCTCGATACTTGGCGGAACGCCTACTCCCACCAAGTTCTACCCGTGTCACTCGTGTGAGCCAGGAGGTGAGGCTGAGGAGCCTGATGCCAAGGGAGGCCCGGAAGGAAAAAACAAGAAACCGGGCCTTCTCCGCGGTGGCTCTTCACCTCTGGAACAATCTACCTCCAGAGATTCACGCAGCCCCCTTGCTGGGTATCTTTAAAAATCAATTAAAAACGTGGATGTTTCGGCAGGCCTTCCCTCCAGCTAATTCCTGATGCTTTCCTTTCCTTTTCTTTCCTATTGTTTGTCTTCCATCTTGTTGAATTTGTTTATCATGTAATAATCCTTTTGTTAGCCGCCTAGAGTGGTCGTAATTGACCAGATAGGCAGGATATTAATTAAATAAATAAATAAATATAATAACACTGTTATTAAGGAATGTATAGCTCAGGCATAAGGAACCACTGATCCACTAAGACACCAGCTCCAGTCCTCCGATTTCACCAGATGGGCTCGTACCCCCATGACACCAATACTTGTTGCTTTCCGAGCTTCCCAATGGCCTTTGCCCCCATTCTAAAAGGCGGAAGTGTCTCTGTTAAGGCTTAGGTACTGGCAATAAGAGTGTTTAAGCTAAAATATTCTTGGACCTTTGTACCACTGGAATGCAGCCCCCCCAATAACCTTTTCGAAACCTGACGTCCGCCTTCCAACTGGAAAAGGTCCCCTAACCTTTTGGCATAAGCAGTAAGGTCTGGAGGAGATGGCAACCCATCACTCCATCCAGCACCCTGGGCGTTCTTTTAAGCTTCCCCTTTCTCAGGATGTGTCCCCCCCACCCAACTGTGCTCAGCTCAGCCCGCACTTGGGAGGCAGACGTGCTAGCCGTCTTCTCAATTCATCCAACCAGCCAAAGATCAGTGGGAGGCTGCCCCACGGCCGTGGCTGGCCTACCACATCAATTAGCACCTTTCATACTCCATTGCAGCCCTCACTGAAGTCCCACACCCATAACCCATGCCCAGTCTGAATTACTGCCGAAGCAAGCAGGGAGGAGAAATCGTAACGATGCCTAAATCCTGCGGCTTGGACAAATCACAAAGGCAAGCACCCAGCTGAGTAAGAAAGGGCTCATTCTAGATGTAAACGCAGAGACGGCTGCCCCTAAGCAGCAGCCTGTTTGGAAATGTTGTTTTTTGGGTCACAAGTCATAGAACTCCTCAACCATCCTGAGTGGCCACCGACTATTAGGCCTGGGGGATTTCTGAATTGCAGCTGAAAAGGGAGATGTTACTGGATCTAGATGTTAAGCATTTGTAGTTACTTTGTTCGATGGAGGCTTTAGTTCCTCTGAATTCAAGGGACCAACCCAGGTATGAGTGAGAACAGACCCTCCCAAGACTCAGAGCAGGAGGAATCACGCTTCCCTTCGTTTGGGGCAAAATATGCTCTCTTTGTACCGGGGGGGCCTTCTTTTGCCATGCTTCTCTTGAAGCATATGCTTTGGAGAGAAATTGCAAGGGGGAGAAAGGAGGGAAATGTTATGGCTGTGAGTTCTACTCCTGATCTGCATACATTCATGTGAACAGCTGTACGAAGTTGCCCTCTGCCTCAAAAATCTGGGGGGCTGGAGTATATGGTTACAGTGGGGCAGCCGGAGACCCAGCCACACTTGGGTGCACTTCTGAACAGATCAAGCCTGAGAGACGTGGGGACACAACTTCTAAAATGACTGGGAATACTTCTCATGAAATAATTGGAGTGCCTCTTCAAAAATGGGAGGATCTGCCAGCCAGAATTGCCACAACTTCTGGTATTAAAAATATTCTCTTTGAAAATACATACTGTATGTCTTGGCAGAAAGTTCTCTTCCCGATCCATTCCGGAGAAAAGGTGCATCTTTTCAACATCCTTTTAATCCTGACTCCCTGCCTAACACTATTTCAAATTCGTTTGTTTATTTAATTTGTTTATTTGTTCAAACACGGTTAATCACGAATTGTGAAGAGGAAGCGAGTTCTAATCCTGACTCCCTGCCTAACACTATTTCCACATCTCTAAGAGAAGGTAAGTGCAGCCTCTCCACATCACTGGAGCAGATTGTCCCCTCTTCAAACAGCCTCTACCCCCTCCATGAACTGGTGAGTCCGAGGATGGGGCCAGAACACTCTGCGCTCACCCTTTCAAACTAACCCTTCTTGAAACACCTGAACACGACTTTTGTCAACCAACATTTAAGCCTGGGGCTGGGAAACCTGTGTCCTTTCGGATGTTGTTGAACTCCCACCTTCCAGTAGGCCGAGGCCAGTAGAATGTAATGAGGATGATGGGAGGCATGATACGTCTGCAGCTTGAGAAGGTGTCCCTTAAAAAAAAGAGACAGTACTGACAACAAGACGGCTTCTCTCTTTCTCACCTCTTCCTTTCCAAGGCTCTTAAGATGCTCCAGGATCTGGGCTATCACTGTTTCACACAGCTTGTTTGTTTCTGCCAGGAATTTGGTATCTCCACCGTACAAGGTATCATTGGACTCAACTGAGAAAACAGGAGGTTTTAAATTAAAAACAGGACATGTCTGCAGTCGGAAAGGGCTACATCTCAGGAAAATAAAATGAAATATTCATGAAAGAAAGTAAAAGGAAACAAAAATGCTCTACAGGACATAATAAGGAATAATACAGAAAGCTAGAGTCTGTTGAATCTGGCAAAACTCAGCTTAAATTCAGCTCCAACCACAAAGTTCAAAAGGCAGGATCTTAGATATGAAAAGCTTAGCCTACCTCACAAAGCAGTTGTGAGCTCACAACAAGATGAGCCAATGTTTATGGCCCTCAGCAAGCTGGAAATGATGCAGTTTGAATTTCAGTCTCATTTTTTTTCTGCTTAAGATGCTTTATTTACTATAAAAGGTAGACTTCAAAATCAAGCAAAACATGTAAATCAACACCAAGAATGTGACCCCATCTGTATCATTTTGATCTCAATAATTTATCTACTAGTTTCTGAATGTTGTGGGACAGTGAAAAAATAAGGAAAGAGAACAAAATGTTGCATTTGGCACCAGGGAGCATTACCACACCTTATGAACTAAGTACTTTATGACTGTGGACTACTAGAGGCACAAAATGTTTTCTGGTGTGCTGATCTGTCTTCTTCTGATATGCTGTTATCCACCTTCCTTAACACACCAGAGGTGGAGGGAGTTTATGAAAAAGTCCATCTCAGAATCCATCCTGCGATCATACAAAAGTGAACAAACCTACCTTTCCAGCTGTGTTCTGAACACAGGCATGGAGATCTTCTTGGTGTTGCCAGACGGCAACTTCCATCAGGTGTGACCAGCCTTGTCAATGTTGAAGAATGACAGCAGCTATAGTACAACATCTGGCATGCCCCATCCTGCTTTAAGGAGCGCATGCTGCATTGTCATCCTAAAGCATAATTACGATGCTGCCTAAAGTAATTCCCAAAGTCTCCTTCACACGAATCTTTCATTTCACAGAAATGCTATTTGCTACACAAATCAAAGGCAGAATACTCCAGCACCTGCAGACAATTCTTGTGGCCTTACCCACTCAAATGTCCTTTAAAGCAGTAGTCCCCAACCTTGGGCCTCCTTCACACAAATCTTTCATTTCACAGAAATCCTATTTGCTACACAAATAAAAGGCAGAATACTCCAGCAACTGCAGACAATTCTTGTGGTCTTACTCATTCAAATGTCCTTTAAAGCTATTTGCATGTTTTTAACTCATATGCTCATCTCTATGACAGGAGACGCCAGCGATAAAACTGGGAAGAACACAAAGGACTTGAAGCAGGCATTCAATCCCAGGTTTTCCACAAATGAAGTCTGCAACATGTGGAAGATCATATTCCAAATGTAAACTCAACACTTACTTGGTTACAAACAAACAAACAAAATCAAGCTCAGCAATTTCCTAAGGAAACATGAGCATCCATTCCCAGTTTTCCATCACAACAAATAGAAGCTGGAATTAGATGTGATGATGCAAAATGCATTTCATTCTTAATGTGCTGGATCCAAAGTAAATTCACTGAAATCAAGGAGGTTCTACTCAGTTCTGCTGACTTTAAAGGGTTTAAGCTCAAAGAATCTGTATCCTTTGTTTGTAAATGAACCATTACACCAACTCAGAATAAGCCCAGTACAGTCAGGGCAAGCCAGCACAATCTAGTGGTTACAGTCCTGATCCATGAGTTGGTTGATCCACGTTCAAATCCCCACTCAAGCAGGAAACTCACTGAGTAGCCTTCTCTTTCTCTCTCAGGTTTACTACAAGTGGAGAGGAAGATAGCCACAGAAGCTGCTTCGTGCTCTCTGGAGGAAGCACTGACTATACATATCATCAATAAACCTACATGTCATGAATAAACCTACCCAGAGACCTTTGGGTAGAGTGGACGGCATATAAACTAAATAAATAAATTAAAATAAATAAATAAAGCAGCTGCTTTTTTTTCCATACAAATAAGGCATACTTGGCTTGCAGAAAAGCTTTCTAATGAAAAGTTGGTGCTCTCTATATCCAACACTCCCACTTCTACCTTTGTTCACATGGTAAATGTAGGTTTCTTGACCCATTGCCGACAGGAGATGCACGGCATTGGTGTAAATCCGGACTTTATCATCACTGTTATCTTCCCAAGTGTAGTCTTGGATGACGTTGAGCAGCCCTCGCACAAGAAACAACACACCTTGCTCAGGATGGTCCTACAGAACAAACACAAACCAAGAGTGATCATAACAACAGTTTGACTTTCCCACAGCTCCCAAAACCAGGGAACAAAAGGGGCTCTGAACGTATGCACTTCAGTGCAACTTCTTGCTTGGGCAGCTTTGTGCTGATTCAGCCTTCTGTAGGCCACCAACATCAAGAAGCAGTGGGGGACCAATAAAGAAAGATGGAGGAGCTGTTGGAGAGACTTGGAAATCCTCACCTCCCCCAAATTATTCCAGTCTGTTTCAGAGAAGGCTGGTATCTTACAGTTTAAGAATTTTTTTGTGGAGGAAAGCATCGTAGCCACATGAAACCATCCATCACTGTGCTTTAATGTGGTGCCGCCAGAACCAGGGAAAGCCCTCCAGATGAGGTTGAACAGAAACTCCCATCAGCCCTAGTCACTGTGCTTTAACGTGGTGCCACCAGAACCAGGGAAAGCCCTCCAGATGAGGTTGAACAGAAACTCCCATCAGCCCTAGTCAGTACAACCAATAGTGAGGAACGCTGGGAGCTGTAGTCCAACAACACTGGAGGGGAGTTACCCCTTCCCTGCTTTGGTTTTATGCCTCTTCTCCCATCTGTGAAACGCAAGCATTTACCAGTACACAGAATTATGAAAGAGTATGCTTAATGAAACCTGCAAAACCCACTCTCTGACTCCTACCAATGTTAGTTTTCTAAAACTGAGAAGACAAAATATACTGAAGACAACATGTCTTCTGCTCCTTCCTTCAGTTACTGAGGAAAGGACCCTGACCGTAGTGGCATTCCAACCCAGGAGGGAATGGTTTGACAAGAAAAACTCACCTACTTCCTCACTCGAGAAGACAAAAATATACTGAAGACAACATCTCTTCTACTCCTTCCTTCAGATACTGAGGAAAGGATCCTGATCGTGGTGGTATTCCAACCCAGGAGGGAATGGTCTGACAAGAAAAACTCACCTACTTCCTCACTCATTGTCCTTCGAGAACCAGACAAAGACTTTTTTTTTTTACAATTTCTTCAGGCTTTTTAGTTTGTTTTAGTCTCAGTTTGACATAATCCCTTGTGATTCTAGACTGTGTTCTCTCTCTCTCTCTCTCTGAATCCAGTTCCAAACAGCCGCCTCCCTCCCCTTGGCTACCAAGCTTAGGCACACACACATACGCGCACATACCGAAGGGGAGGAAGCCGTAGCCCTTCCAGCTCCAAACAGCCGCCTCCCTCCCCTCGGCTACCAAGCCTAGGCACACACACATACACACACACACCGAAGGGGAGGAAGCCGTAGCCCTTCCATCGTGTTTAGATCCAACTCTACCTCTTGCTGAACTCTGGAGATTCCCCCCCCTCCTCCCGTCCATCGTGGCCCTCCTTGGGCTGCATCTAGACTGTAGGCATGCTGGCAAGATCTGTTTCCTTGCCATTATCAGTAGGCTGCTCTGAAAGTCTGGCAACAGGCAGGGCAAAAATGTGAAATGAGAGAGAGGGAAGAAGGATAAGAAGGATTACCTACAGGAATGATTAGCAATGTCGAAAAAAAATTGCACAGGAATTCCAGGAGGAAAGCTTCAGAGGGCCGCATCTTCCCATCAATATTGATCATCTTTGGCACTTCAGGAACCAGACTTATTGCGGCTTTGAAAAAGGCATCCGCTATTTTAAGAGACAAAAGCAAAACGGCAAAAACAAACCCTGAGCCACTGCACCTTTAGCTTATGGAAATCAGATTCACCAACCTGCCTGCAAATTGCTAAAAAATCAATAATTTCCTCTGTCCGGGGTTATTAAGACAACTATACATTTGAACTGTAGCCACATCTGGAGTTATCCTGGCCTTGCAAAATACAGATGGTCTGTAGCTATGACAAATTAAAAAGTTTCACTGGGAAAAAAATGATCTGCATATGTTCACTGTCTAATTCCATACACAAGAATACCCTTGGCTTCGAAAATCACTTCATAAAATGTATTTCCAGATTCTTCCTTAATCTCGCTGTTACAAATTCATCTACATTAAGTCCATTCGCCGCCACCCCCATATGAAAGGCTCAGTATGAGAAATAATTCAGGTAGAAAAACAGCTATCAACAACTGAACAACATGCATTAAAAATTCAGTACTTACCTCTTGGCTAAGTAAGACAAAGTGATTAACACTGTGAAAATTAAACAAGAGCAGCTAATACAAGGTCACATCTCTTCAAAGAAGACAAGAGAGCAAAGGCAAGATTTTAAATTTTCTTAATAGCACTTCTAACACTGGAAAGACATAGAGACTGAAAACAGTGGGTGAGTAGAGGTTAGACTAGTTACTTTAATCATCATCATCATCCTCATGTGCTGTGAAGTCAATTCTGGCTTATGGTGACCCTTTTCAGGATTTTCTAGGTAGACAAGACTCAGAAGTGGTTTACCCTTCTCTTCTGGGGGCATCCAGAGACTGTGCAGCTTGCCCAAAGCCACACAGGCTGACTTTACTCACAGGACGCACAATGGGGAATCGAACTCTTGACTTCTGCCTAAACCACTCAGCTATCCAGCCAGTTTTACTTTATTGAACAATAAATCCAAGAATGTTAAGCTCTAGAAGATTCCAGAAACATCTGCGCAAGCGCAGATGAACCCATTAGCGTGCACTCACAGAGACCACAAAGAAGAATGTTCATTTAAGAGCTACCTACATTGCTTGTTCTGTCAACACCTCTATCAATAAACAATTTCCATTTGGTTCTTTTAAAATGACATATGGCCTGGACCTCAATTATTAAGAATAGGTATTGTTGATGAAATCAACTGCCAGCAGCTGAGAGGCCTGTAACGTGAGCTCTTTCCATGGTGAAACAATCAGAAGGCACGTGGAATTGTGACAAATTGGTGGCACCGCGCTGGGATCCGATTGCGGCTTTAATCCGGAACAATTCAAATGAAACATTCAATGCGTCCTCCTCTGTCCTCCTTTTTGTCTCTCTATGTCCTCCTTTTGATACCCATGCATCTGGCAACCCTATGTTGGTGGCGCTCTTCGAGGACAGGCTGGGAGCGAGCTTCACTCTCAGGCATCGCTCAGCAGTGGCTCAGCGGCCGGGGGAAAGGGGTTGCAGGGCGCCCCGGTCACCTCTCCCCCAAGACAGCGCCTCTTGCACCCTCCATCCGGAAGTGCAGCCTGCCAGACGGCAGGCAGGCAGGCTGGCTAGCAGGCTGCAGTTCCAAATGGAGGGTTCAAGAGGCGCTGTCTTGGGAGAGAGCCCGCGAGCAAGGTGAGGCTTTTTTTTACTCTTGACAGCAGAGGAGGTGTGGGCGCTTCAGGGGAGCAGGCAAGGTGGGGGGCCGCAAACTATCGTCCGGCAGGCCGCAAATGGCCCCCGGGCCGCATGTTTGAGACCCCTGATCTAGAGGCTAGCTCAAAATCCAGAGCCTGAGGATAAAGGGCAGTGGCAGATAGAGTGGAAGCTTAGGTCAGGATAGATCTGAGGGGATAAGGAAAGCTAAGCAGAAAGTTGTTCTTGTGTCTGGAGACAAGAATCGCCCAGACAGGGAAATAATGTGGCCAGGGTTGTGAAATTGATAGTAGCTGAGTCCAGCTGCTTGGTTTGGTGAAACAAGCAGAGGCCACGTGGAGATCGTGGCAGCTACTTAAATAATCAACCCACTAAAGCTCAATTTTAAGGCAAACTGGAATTTCAGGATCAAGCAGGAGAAGGAGGCATACATTGGTTGCAAGTGGTTGAAGTCTCTGGCTGCAGAGCCAGAAGGTTGGGAGTTCGATACCCCACTATGCCTCCTTGACAGGGGTTGGGCTGGATGAGCCATAGAATCCCCCCCCAGCTCTGCAGTTCTGATATGAACCTACTGGGCAGTTAGACCTGGCCAGGGGGCCCTTTTGAAAGAGCCATCCCTCAAGGAGGTAAGAGGGACGGCTTGTAGACAAAGGGCCTTCTCGGCAGCTGCCCCCAGACTATGGAATGCCCTCCTGACTGAGATTCGTCTGGCACCGACGCTGATGACATTTCGGCGCCAGGTCAAACCCTTCCTGTTCCAGAAGGTTTTTAATTGAAATAATATCAACTGTGGGTCCTGATGGCAATTTTTAGAGTACTGTATTTCTAATTGTAATTTAATTTTTTAAATCTTTTTACTGTATTTAAATTGTTGTAAGTCCCCATAGACCTTTGGGTAGTGTGGGCAGCAAATAGGCCAAATAAGCCAAATAAGCCAAATAAGCCAAATAAATAAACAAACAAACAAACAAACAAACAAATAAATAAATAAATATTCTAAGATTATACATTGCTAATAAAGCTTTACTAAGCTTCAGTGAATAGCCCCTTCACTGTCTACAGCAGCATGGATACACCCACAGGTATGTCTTCCAAATTCTCCTTCCCCAAAATTTGCCTTCCTTCGTTTTCACTGACTACTAAGCTATAAATCCTTCTCACAAGGAACGCCAATGACAGTTCCCTAACAGCACTTGTGGCCTTTCCAAAGAATGAATGATCAGTCTTAATATATCTCAGTGGCTCTTGGCTGAAGGAGACATAATGCCTGGCATGTTTCCCTGCAAAATGGTGGTGATGCTTGGGTGTCTAAAGATGGTGTGGTAAAGCCGACTGTGGGGCCTCAAGGCTCCAGCATGCATTCCAGGGACTGTGCTCGGGAAAACCAAGCAAGGACTGTGTAACGCACACCATCTTTTTTTTTCTTTTTACCTTCAGAGATGCTGTCAGGGCACAAGCAAACATGGCCTCTACTCCTTAAACATGTTTACTGATTACAGCCTGGCCAAGAGTAAAGTAGGAGTACCAGACCAGGATACGGAGGGTCAAAGGTTGTGTTTGCTTGGTAAGAAGACTCCTTGATGGGACCTTGTGCCTATAGGCGGGATATAAATAAAATAAATAAAAAATAAAAATAAAATAGCCTCATGTTCTGTTGAAGATTCCCCCCCCCCAGGGTAATGTGCGTGGCTGCTCCCTATTCCTTGAATCTTCACCACAACCCTCTTAAATAGTTTGGCTAAAAAGACTGTGGGGGAGCGGGAGGCAGCTCAATCAGACATAATAGGAAATCAGTTTCCAGCTATCTGAACAAGGTGTGATGAGCAGTGGGGTTGTAACAACAAAAGAAAAACCATGCTGGGCTATATCCGAGGCCTAACAGTTGTTCTGTTCCCATAATGGCCAACCATGAAAAGCCCGCAACCCGGGCATTAGCACAACAGCACCACACCTCTCACATTCCTCTGTGATATAGAACTGTCCTGTAGCTGTCCTGATGGCCCTAACCGTCATGGATTTCTCTAATCCCCTTTTAAAGCCACCCAAGTTGGCAGCTCTCATTACATCTTGTGGCAGTAGAGTGGTGCCTCGCAAGACCATGTTAATTCGTTCCGCGAAAATCGCTGTCTTGTGAAAACATTGTCTTGCAAAATGTGGTTCCTCACTGGAATGCATTGAAATCTATTTAATGCGTTCCGGGGGGGGGAATCGTCATATTGCACAAAGCGCCCATAGGAAAACCGTTCTGCGAAGCGCAGACCCAGCTGTCAAAATCGTCGTCTTGCGAAAAAACGTTACGAAAAAAAGAAACCCGTCTTGCGAAGCACGGACCAAAATATCATCCAGCAAAAATCGCAAATAGGGAAAACCGTTTTGCGAAGCGCTATAGCGATTGCAAAAACCCATCAGCTTGCGAATTAACCGTTTTGCGAGGTAATCGTCTAGCAAGGCGCCACTGTATCCTTTATTCCTCCCTTTTGCGATGTGCCAGGTGCCTTCTTCTAAACAAACCACATACCTGCGTTATATCCAAACTGGAGAAATGTATTAATGTTAATGAGACTGAGTCAGGATCAAACACAGACGACATCAATCATAACCAGGTCAGAAAATAAATGAAAAGGGATTATCAGTCCTATGGGGGCGGGCGGGGGGAGAAGAAAAGAGGGCAGGTACTATTTCCTGCAATGACCCCCTTCAGCATGCAAAATAATTCCATTCCGAAGCAAAAATTCAAAGCCAAAGCAGAAAATAGCACAAAGCAGGGGAAAACATCAGACTTGTAGGATCCTTTGTTCTTCATTTCCTGATGGCCATGAAAACTAGGTCACTAGAAAAACAAGATTGTCATCACGCTGCACTATCAGGTGCGGGGGAGGGGAGGTTAGAAATATTAGATCAGTCATATAACTGTGAACTTCTGAACTCTGAATCTAGATGCAGTCAGCAACCTTGAGCGCAATAAATCCCACCCGAGTGCGCAATTTCCATTTTTATCAGTCCCCTGGTGAAATTAGTCACACATAAAACCCCAAATTAGTTGGATAGCTCTGGTCACGTGGAATATTACACTTCATGCCAAGCAAAGATTTAACAGCTTAGAAGACCCAAACATCGGGACAGCCCTGAACACTGTTTCCTGCTCAAGCGGATGTGTTAAGCAGCAAGCAGAACAATGAACTCCCAAGCTGTCCATTTTGCAACCCAAGAATTCGGTCAGTTTGGCCAACAAAATCCACAGCTCGGACCAGTTACATTGCCATCATTACAGCCATGATGGTGGACAACCCTGGCTGGAGGATTCTGGGAGCCGTAGTTCAAAATCATAATTTTTCTGAGTGCTGCCCAATCCACAATAAGAGCCTTGTCTTACAAAGATTCATTGTTCTGTCTTGACAACAGCACTCAACCTGTGACACGAGACAGTGATTCTGTTCAGTGTGGCAATCCCCATACATATTTATTTATTAAAAATATTTCTATGCCACTTTTCTCCCCCAAAAGACCCAAGGTGGCTTACATTACTAAAACAGTATTTAAACGCTAAAACAGTAAGTATACAAATGTTAAAGCAATATTAAACAGGTACTATATTAAAATGGTAACTAAGATCAATATTAAAAACATGGAAAACAACAGAGGACAACAGTCAAATTAAGACCTCTTTCAGACCACCAGTCATTAAGCAAAAGCCTGAACTGCCTGAAGAGAAAGGTCTTTGTCTGCCTGCAGAAGGACATCAAAGGTGGGGCCAGCCGAGCTTCCCGTGGGAGGGAGTTCTGGAGCCTGGGAGCAGCGACAGAGGAGGCCCTCTCCCGTGTCCCCACTAAGGGCACCTGGGGTGGCTTTTATCTTGGATTAGGCAAGATAAAATCAGCCAAACTAAGACTATTAACCAGTGGCTGGACAAGATGTCTAATACGTAATCTATATTTTATCTCAGACTTGTCTGATATGCAGTTTGCCATATTTCTGCATACCTTTGCTCCCAACCTTGTGCATCAATATGCAAGGCAAATGGGACAGATGCTAAGCAGCCGACATCCCCTTCATCTGCCTTTTTTTTCTTTTGGACTTTTCTGTTTCTTCTTCACCCTCAGTAATGCCCAGCCTGATGATGAGTCCTGCAGGATCCAAAAGACTGCTTCTCTGTGGCCTAATAAAGGTAACACCCAGATAGCTCATTGAGATGGAGCATCTAAGTCCCCGATATCTTAAAAAAAACAACTCTGGGAGAGATAGCCTCGTAACTGACAGCCCATAATTAATTAATAAACACTCTTGTTTCTGAATAGTGATGAATAAACGAATAAACTGTGAAAGCCCCACCTTGCATCCCTTTAAGGAGAAAGGCGGGATATAAATATAAATATAAATAAATAAGTTGAGAATGAGAAAATGAAGGGAAGCAGATTTCACAGAAATAACAGGAACTATTTATTTTTCCCTTCAATTTTCAGCTTTCCCAGGTTGATCCAGCACATTCCAGAGCTTGGCAAACCTACATATTTGAACTAACTCACAAAACGGCCAGGTCTGCCTTTTTCCAACTTTGGCAGGTTGAAAACCTGCGGCCCTGCACAGGAAATCCTTAAGAACACTAGTTCACACATTGGTAAACTTGAAGATCAACTACTGCAATGCTCTCAGCATAGGGCTGCACTTGAAGGCGATACAGAAGTTGCAATAGGTTCAAAAGGCAGCGGCAGGTTTCAGGAGCCTTTTGATATAATCAAATCTCCTTGATCCGAGCTAGCTTGCACTGGTTGCCTGCATGCTTCTGTGCCAAATTCAAGGTATTAATGTTGACATATAAAAAGCCTTTAACATTTTGTGATCTCATCATCTGTTGGGAGTGCCTCTCCCTAAGATCTTCCACTCATGCCACCTGTTCCTCCCAGGCTTTGATACTGCGAGTGGCCACCATGACGGAGGCCTGGAAAACTGCAATTAGGAACTAGGCCTTCTCGACGGTGGACGCAAAATCATGGGATGCCCTGCCAGGCCCTTTCCTTTCCAGCCTTCTGAAAGCCAATAAAAACAGAGCTGTCCAAAGTGAAATGACGACAATGAACGAGTTAAAAACTTTAGAGCAGAAGACCCAGAAATGATTTCATTCCGCTGTCTCTGCTCAGTTTTGTCTACAAAACAAGCCCAATAGACACAAAGCGTAGGGCACTGACGTAGCCATTCCATTGTTTTTCACAATGTACAGCAGTACTCGGAGGGACCCGTCAGCTTTGCGCTAAATCCCTCTGCCTTGATGGTGCCCAACATTGTATCCCGTCCAAACAAAGGAAGAAAATGGCAGCCTTGCAAGGGAAAGCCTGAGTCAGCTTCCTAGGTCAGCTCGTTTGCATTTAGAGCTGGAACTTACTAGCACACACATAATGCAGGCGGCATTTGTCACCTGCTGGAAGGGACAAGATTTCACTCCCTTTCCCCTGCACGTGTCTGGAAGCATCCAAATTAGAAGGAATATGCCGTACAGCTCGATGTGCAAATTCTTCATTTGTGCAAGCTTTTCCCCCACCCCCAAAGAGACAGTGACTCTAAGCTGTCAGAATGGCTGCTTTTGTAACCCAGGGAGGCTTCATCTGGCCCAGGGAGGTTGATGGGCAAGGCTCTGCCCTTGGGGGGCTGCCTTGAAGGGAATCCTGGGGTTCCTGTCCTAGCTTTCACGCCTTCCTCTACCAAGAGCTTCCTAAGCAAGAAAAGGGAAAGAGCAAAGCTGGGGAGAAAGGATCCAACCAGCACTTGGGCTGCTGACCCAATGATGTCCTACCATCATCTAGCCTGCAGAGGAGAGTCTGGACCGTATGGGTTTTGGTTCTTCACTCTGATGTATTATCTAACATCCTAGAATTGCAGCATAGTCATCAAAGATCCTCTAGCTCAGTGGTCCCCAACCTTGGTAGCATAGACATCGAAGATCCTCAGTGGTCCCCAACCTTGGGCTTCCAGATGTTCTTGGACTTCAACTCCCACAAATCCTGGCCAGCCGAGGTGGTGGTGATGGCTTCTGGGAGTTGTAGTCCAAGAACATCTGGAGGTCCAAGGTTGGGGATCACTGCTCTAGCTGACACCCCTCCACACTTCTGCTGCAGAACTCTCCAATAGCTTGAACCAGCAGGATGTGTTTTTTTTTGACCTTTTTGCTGAACTCCTCTTTCTCAGAATATAAAGTTAATTAAATCCTCACCTGTCTCATTCTCATGGTTGACAACTCATTAATATTCAAACACTTATCCTTTGAATCACATGGGTCTGAGCAGCGCAATTTTGGTTATACGCAGATTTTGTAAAAATAAAGAAATAATTACCCAATAAATACTTTGCTGCTATTAATACCCAGAAAGTGATCTGAGAAAAGTGTGTCTCAGACAGGGAGGGTTGCTGGGACATGCCAAGAGGCTCATGGGGGTCATGAGAGGGAGGGAGGGAGAAAGAGAGAAAAAGTTTAAGAAAGAAATGTAGCAAATTTCTTGGATCCTCACAATTCTGAATACTGGTTGTATATTGCCTGAACTTTTCTAGACTGAACTTTTCTAAAAATGAGCAAAGTACTTTTCACCAGCATATTTATTTCTTGACTTTATTTCTTAGATTTCTGTACCACTGGATTAGTGCCAGCCACTTCTCTCGAGCTTTATTCAACAGCTTCTACCAAAGAAGCCAAGAGTGACCCATTTGGCTTTCTGAGGCCGTCAGACAGAACACTCACAATGTGAGCAAAGGCCCTTTGTTTTTCACTACAGATAGAAATCCTGCTTCTTAAAAACATCATTTCCTTTAGAACACCAAGCAACCGCAGAGGCTTACCTTGTGAAAGGCACTGATTTGCCAATGCAACCTGACCAGAGTGCAAGTACAGATTAAGGCGAGCAAAGATGCTTGTCAGAGACGGAATTGTAATGAAGCAGAAGGCAACACAAGCCTAAGAGAAAGGAAATGCAGACATGTTTTCAAAGACCACTCTGGTCTCATCTTAAATCATCAAAAAGCATCACTGTTTTAAAAGCCTAACATGCTATGCTCCCATTTTATTTTATTTTTTAAAAAAAAGACTTTATTGTTCTTGTTCTTGACATATACAGTACTCTATCGCTAATCATACACAAAATGAGTTGTATTAGAAAACAGTTGTATTAGCCACCTAGAGTGGTCTTGCAGATCAGATGGGCGGGGTATAAATCAAATAGATAAATTAAATAAATAAATAAATACTTGCATACTTCACATCTATAAAATGTATAAACTCAAGAGTGTTTATATAACCTTGGACATATGGTTATATAGGGTGGAATATATCTTTTAAAAACGATGAACGTATATTCTGAGCTGTGCTGATCGGTGGTTTCCAACTTTTCCAGACTTCAAGACCTATTTTTAAACTCATTAGGCAACATTTTAAATTTGTTATCCATAACACTAAATGAAACAGTAGAGCACATATACTGAAAACCTGGCTAGCAAGGGGACTGCTAGGACATGCAGGCAGCTTGCCATGTCACAAAATGTCAGGGTTTGAAAAGTTTCGCTTTTCTAGCGGCCCCCTTCCGAACAACTGTTAATAATACAGAAGGCACAATATTGGTTAAAAAAAAGTGTGTCTTTTCTATTGTATGGGGAGGAAGCAGCTAGGGGAGACAAGCCATGCACAAATTTGTCCTGAATAACAAGTCATGATCATTATCTTAGAACTCCAAAGCTGGAAGGGACCCTAGATCATCAAGGCCAGCCCCAGTGGGGAGTGGGGAATCAAACCTCTGGCTCTACAGGCATTTTTTTAGGCATATGCATTAGCCCATTTAGAGTAGAACACTAAGTTTAATCTTACATAAATAAACAGAATGTTTATGTTCACCGGCTCCCATTGCCTTCTTCTTCTGCCTCTGGCATGATAATTAGAAGACTGAAAGTTGCCTGTTTTTAATTAGTTAGCATTTATCATTATTTTCCAAATTGGGAGGAGCTCTGTGTAATCTATGCATTTCTGAAACATGGCATGATCAAACTGTGAATCATCAACCAGACTTATTTCAAAAAACAAACAACAGTTTGAACCAACTCAAGTTCCTCCTCGTTCAAAAACAACAATAAGCTCCAGTTAGTTTAAAACAGGGAACAAATGCTTCCAGTCTCTTCTTTATAGCTGCAGCAAAGGTGGTAGATGACCATGTGAACTCAACATAGGCTTCTGTTTGTTCACAGATCATTAACTGTGCTTCACTGCTACATCACTAACAGGACATGGTCTTCTCATACAATTGAAGCATTAAGGATGGAGTAGTTTTTACACCTACCCTGACAAATGCAGCCGTCTTTCTAGAATGATTGCCTTTCATCACTTTTCTTGTTTCCATCGCCAGCTGGTTCACGCTCTGTTGTAACAGATCACATTACCAATGGGAACAACTATGCAACTTAAGAGCTTCATCTAGCAGCAGTCAATGGGACTACTCAGTTTAATTGCATACTATGTCCAGTTAAATTCTGAATTAATTTCAGGGACAAGAGAATAAAATGCAGAATGAGTAGAACTGTGTGTTTTCTCCAATGAAAAGATCAGAGCACAGAGTTCTGACTCCTGTCCTCTGAAGATGCCGGCCACAGAGACTGGCGAAACGTTAGGAAGAATAACCTTAAGAACATGGCCAAACAGCCCAGAAAACCCACAACGACCAAAAAGATCAAACTTAGGCATAAAGGTAACCCTAAGGTACATGTAAAAAGAGCTGAATTCAATTCAATTCCTATGCAAGTATGCTGTTCAGTTTTCGTTTTGTTTTGTTTTTTGCTGCTTCTGTTATCAGGAATGGACAATGCAGGACAGAAATGTACTTGCTGGCCACTGGAAATGCTACCAGTATGGATATAAGCCAGGCTCCCTTCCTTCTAACCTTCAAAACATGTGTTCAATCTGTGTTTGTTGAATTTGGTTTGCTGGTTCCTCTGGAGTGTTTTGAGTTTTTTTTCTTTGTTGTTTTTAGTATTTATGGGCTTGTGGGTGGGAGATAAATAAATAAACAAACAAACAAATCTCTCCCACCATGTCACTCACCAAGCACTCTAGGCTTAGGAATTAGATACTGGTGGCGGTGGTGTTCAAATTCACTATATCAAGATGTGGTGCGGTTTACTGCCCCCAAGCAAGCATTCTATTTATGAAACAGCATCGCCTACCATGTCACTCACCAAGGCTTAGAAATTAGATACTGGTGGTGGCGGTGGTGTTCAAATTCACTATTTCAAGATGTGGTGCGGTTTACTGCCCCCGAGCAAGCATTCTATTTATGAAACAGCATCGTTCAATTCAGGCAAAGGAAAAAACAAATTCTTGTGCATACAATTACCGTATTTTTCCATGTATAAGACAATACTGTTGTCTAAAATCTTTAGACTTAAAACTGAGGGTTGTCTTATACACGGAAGTAAGCTGAGGAGAGAACAAAATGGCCGATACCTTGCCTCTGCAAACAGGCTTGCCTCCTCCAATCACGAGCCTTATGTAACTGATGTCAGCTGATGCTGTACAAACCAATTGGAACAAACCTCTTTGGAGGTGGAGCCTATAGGCAGTGCTCAGATTCAACAGGGACTCCTAATGTCCGAGCGTTCCGAGCCCAGAGGCTGAACATTTAAAGCTAAGTTTTCTTAATTTTGAGTTAGAAAAGGGGGGCATCTTATACATGGGGGAAAATATGGTAATCCCCGAACAGAAGATGGTTGCACCAAGGAAACAATTCACACTTTTTCCTACCAAACTGAGATCTTTCAGCTCTGCTAAGTTAAACAGGGTTGGAAAAGTTTATTTCTGGACTACAACTCCCGGAATCCGGGAGTAATAGGGTTGGAAAAGTTTATTTCTGGACTACAACTCCCGGAATCCGGGAGGCTGCGATTAATAGCACCCGGCCACCCCAATCATTTTCCATCCTCTTGAATCAAAGCTCCCAGGTGAAAGGAGAAGATATTGGACCAGATATTGATATAAACATAGTGGATAAATGCTTGCTCTCGGCTGCTAAAATGCTTCTAAAACTGACCTCCCCCCATAATGAAACATCAAGAATGGCAATCTATGGCTGCAAAAAATAGCGCCAACAGCCTCAGGAGTCTAATTTACACCTCCAGGTATGCTTACATGAATCAGCTGGACAAGAACAGGTTCCAGGTTGCAAAACATCGATCGGGCCTCCACATAAAAACTCAGCTGCTGCTCAAAGTCACGGCCAAATGAAACCTGGATTAAAAAGAATCACAGAGTTGTTTCTTAAGACAGGATCCCGTCATTTCCATTGGATCTGCTGTCATGTAGTGTGTTAATTTTAAAACAGTCATGATGGGGGAGACGTCCAGGGCCTCCCAAGGCATCCAATTCCCTCAGCAGTGTTAGGAAACGTCCAGACAACGAATGTTTATGTTTGTGTGTATGGGTCTTTGTGTGTGTGCACACTTTGTCAACTAATATACAGTAGCTTCTAGGGAATTTCCAAGCCTTTGACATGATGCAAGGGGGAGGGCTGGATCAGACCAAATGGTCTGTCTCATTCAATATTATGTTTTTCTCCAGCAGCCAGCCAGTTGCTTAATGGCTGCTTAAAGGTGCAAAGGCAGAAGGCCTCTTCTGCACAGTGAAAACAAATTCAGCAGGGATGGGGCTGAATTCAGCTCCCCTGGAGTCAGAATCCAGCCTGGTGAGGTTCCCCACCCTTTTGATAGTTTCCTACTCATTGTAGGTAGGAAAGGCTCCCTTCTGAAAGGTTCACTTCTGAACAGTAAGACAGGTCTCCCCACCCTTGGGTCTCAGATGTTCTTGGCCAGCACAGCTAGATAGGAAGGCTTCTGCAAGTTGCAATCCACGAACCTTTGGGGAACAAGGTTAGGAACCATTGCAGTAAGAGATTTCAGTTGGAAAAGGCTGTTCCTTTTGGCCTCACCCTCTGCTGGAATCAGGTTTTGCAACTGAATCTGACCCTCTGTATGAAAGAGGTTCTCTGCCTTTGATTTAAAGTGATCTGTTAGTAGTTATCACAACCCCTCTGACAGCAGATTCCAAGAGCTAAATGCACCTGCTCAGAATGAAATGAAATGCTGAGAGTTGGTGATTCGTACACTTCATGTGATTCGGAACTTCGTGGACCGATAGAATGCCCCCCCCATGAGTCAGAGATGCCAAACTCACAGGAAGTCTTCATCTGACTCTTCTCCCCGCCTTCCTGATGGGGCGGGGACCTGATTTGGAGGCCGATAGCTCAGACATCCCAAATCCAATCTTCAACAAACTTGGAGGGAGTGGGGAGGAGAATCAGCTGAAGTCTCAGTGCAAAGTTGGCATCTCTAACTCATGCAGGGCCATTTTTTATTGCTCCCAGAAATTCCAAATCGCATGAAGCACACAATGGTTCATTTTGTTGGAAAGTTCATAAAAGTTCATGATTCGTGAATATCCACAAGCTGCTGTTTTCCTGATTTGTGCCCATCTATATTTGCACAGTTGCCACTGATTCTATGCCTCTACACTAACTGGAACTAACAATCTGATTTAGGCCAATGTATTTTCTTGTAAATTCTTCCATCTTTCTTCAACAGCGGACACAAATCTCTTCTTTTCCCACAATATCCTCTTGGCAACTTTGTGAGGTAGGTTTGGCTGAGAGAGAACATCCAACCTAAGGTGACTTGGTGATTTTCCTGTCTGAGTGATGAATATAACTTTATTCACTTCTTAAGACCTCATCCAACAGGCTAACCATTACACCACTGTGGCTTTTTCAAGAAGAACACAGCACATGCCCAAAGTGCTTAATAGCAATAATATCGAAAATAAAAAACAGAACTTAGAACCCAAAGAGTTCTGAAAAAGCCATTTAAAATAAAACAACGTAGCAGTAGACCATATACTCACCATTCTTAAAAATCCATTTATCAAAGAAGCCAACATTCGTTTTTCATCTTCTAGTGTCAGCGCACTACAAATTAATGTTTTAAGCAGCATCAATAATTAAGTCCTTCCTAGACACATTAAGAATGCAATTCAAGGCCTGCCTACTCCAAAATAAACCCCACTGTTACTCACAAGTTGATATGTGCAGAGTTGCAGCTGCAGAAATAAAGTGCCACCGAAGGTGGTAGGGCTTATTTCTGCAGTAAACATATACAAAACAGTTCTGCAAGAACATTAATTTTTTTTGGAATATATGGGATCAAAATCAAAGCATGATGATTAAATGCTGGAATATGGGGACGGGGAATCCAACTCTGTTTCAAAACACAAGCATTTAATTTGCTTATCAAGTGGGCTTGTATTCAAACCAAACATGTTTTGATGAAAATGGATCACACTCAATTACAATTAAATAACTCAGTTTAATCCTGGACATGTTAGTCTCCAGGGTATTGATTTTGCAGATTTCCTAGTGCAGACACCAGATGGGAACAGAGTAATTGTTTTGTAATACAAAATCAGTTCACAGAAGGGAGGGGAGAAGAGCCAACCTTCATCATTATTAGCAAATTAGTTTTTTTACCATGCCATACGGATATAAAAAGGAAGCTTGGAGGCCGCATGGGAGAAGCTGCCAGACCTCAATCAAGACAGCCAATCCAAACACATGTCTATGAAGCAGCAGTTTGAATTGACTTGTGCTTTAGCTCTGAGTGATGTCTAAGCAGAAATAGATAAATTGAGTGATACTGCATGCGAAGGCAATGGACTGTATCTGAAAGTTCACCTTAGCTATTAAAAACAAAAAACACTATCCTGAGCTCTGAAAAACAGAAATTGCTCGCAGGAACAGTATTAATACACACAGGAATGTATTTGTTTTTTATCAGTCATTTGTGTTTTGCATTGTTCACTAATTTAAACAAAATCTGATTTTCCATTTACTGCATCACACCATAACAGGGGCCGAGGAAGCAACGATGATGCCGGAACAATGAGGAACCTTGATTTTGTTCCACCACAAACCTCCTATATTGATCCTATAATTATCCCTGTGTCCTGGAGCAGCTTCAAATGTGATGGCGCTATAGCATACGGAGGACATGCACAGATCTTTTGTGCCTGCCTCAGAGACAAGCAGATGTTGAAGTAGTAGCCCCTTGCCTAGGTAGGCTTTGCTTGAATTTTAAATTTTGGTCTTACGATTTTTAATATAATCTCTGTCTAATGCTTTTTTGTATTGTAATAATTTATTATTTACCATCTTATTTTGTTTCTTTGAATACTGCAAGCTGCCTTGGATCCTTTAGGAGAAAGGCAGCATATAGATATTTTAAGTAAATAAATAGGTGGAGATGGTGGTGAAAATCTTATTCGATTTTATAGGAGCAAAATACAAGCAGCATAACTTTTGGAGGTAAATTCTCTCAAGATTAGACCTCACTAAACTCTTCTTTGTGCACTAAACTTGATGTACAACATATGACTTATACAGTGATTTTTTAACCTAAAGCTATTTGCCTCCAAAATGTACATTGTTTATTAATATATCTGCTTGCAGATATGTATAGCTAACATATTTTGGCCATTGTTTTTCAGACAAGGAAGATGCTGTAGAAGGGTGGGAAGCACAAGGCCCCTATGCTTCTTAATCAACCTGTAACACTGTGATGCCCACAGATACTTTATTTTCATCTGTTAGAAAGCGAAGGTATACAACATCAATAGCAATAATCAATGGGTCTCTCCGGGAGGGCAAGGTTCCCCTGGCCTTCAAGGAGACACTCATTAGGCCCATTAGGAAGAAACCAAGTTTGGCCGCGGACAATATTGGCAATCACAGGCTCGTTGCCAGTGTTTCTTTCCTCAGCAAAGTGGTGGAGAGGGTGGTGGCCGACCAGCCCCAGGCCCTTTTGGACGAAACAGATGCCCTGGATCCATTTCAGTCGGGCTTCAGGCTGTGCCATGGTACGGAAATGGCACTGGTCGCACTGCTTGATGATCTGCTGAGGGAGGCGGACAGGGGCAACATGTCTCTCACAGGCTCATTGCCAATGTTTCTTTCCTCAGCAAAGTGGTGGAGAGGGTGGTGGCCGACCAGCCCCAGGCCCTTTTGGACGAAACAGATGCCCTGGATCCATTTCAGTCGGGCTTCAGGCTGTGCCATGGTACGGAAATGGCACTGGTCGCACTGCTTGATGATCTGCTGAGGGAGGCGGACAGGGGCAACATGTCTCTGTTGGTCCTTCTCGATATCTCAGCTGCCTTCAATACCGTCGACCATGGTATCCTCCTGGGGAGGCTCTCTGAGCTGGGAATCGGTAGTCTGGTGCTAGCCTAGCTCCGATCCTTCTTGGAGGACCGTTCCCAGAGAGTACAGCTTGGGGAGAGTGTATCGGCTCTGTGGAACCTCAATTGTGGGATCCCGCAGGGCTCGATTATCTCCCCAATGCTATTTGATATCTACACGAGGCCATTGGGTCAGGTCATCAGGGGGTGTGCGGCTTCGTGCCATCAGTATGCTGATGACACTCAGCGCACCATCTTTTCTCCAACAACAGTGGATGCCGTTTAGTCCCTTCAGCGCTCTCTGGAGGCCGTACTGAGTTGGATGCAGGTGAATGGTCCGAGGCTGAACCCGGACAAGACGGAGGTCTTGAGGGTGGGTGGCCC